TCATAAAAACATGGGGCACACTTAATTTACACATATATAATTAAATTTGATGAACTAATGATAAAGCTGATAAAAATGACTTAAAGGGCAAGAAAAGTATAATACACTAACTATAAGTACACCTTCAGATATTGTTATTGATTTAAAATATTGAGACACCCTAAAAGATCTTGAACAGTTTCACCCATCACAGACCCCACCAGCCAGAGGTCACATCTCACACTTTCACTGGACTTCCCAAAGGCAAGCTGTCTAAATCAGGGCAGATGATAAAGCTAACTCTGAGAACTAACTCACAGGGGTTGGTTCCCTCCGCCCACCATGTCTGTACACACGAGCAGGCTAGCTACCAGCACACAATAAAGTAATCACTTTTAAAATTTAAAACAAGATTCTACCCAAGACCTAAGCACACCCTATATACCAAGATGAGTTAGATGAGCACGGGGTGAGCCACAGAAAGGACATTTCAAAGACACTCGGTCAAATAAAGGAAGGGCTTCCTGAGGGAGGGAAGGCAGCCGGGAAGAGGAGATGCTGGGGCAGGCTTCTTCATTGCACACGCTGGATGCGTGCACTGAACTAAATGAAGAATGTGAAGAGGAGCAACAGTGAGGACCTCCCTGGGAAAAGGCATGGCATTCCTAGTGGCAATGACCGTCAGAGCATGAGGCTGGCAGCCAGCACCAGAGCCTTACCAAGACCAAGGCAGCAATTTGGGGCGACAGAAAACACACACAGTGCTTGCTCAAAGAAACAGCCCGGGGGGACAAAGCCTGCACCCAGAAAGAGTAGAAGCGGAGCAGCTGAGGTTCCAGGAATGGGGCAGCAGAAGCAGCGATGACACGGTCCCTCAGCCTTCTAAAGCAGTCCAAAAGCAGATGCTGACTCACAGGCAAGCTGAGCCGAGCAATCGGCCCACACCTCAATGGAGACCACTTGTCAGGTATTACTCACAGCCTAGCCTCCCTAAAAATACCTTCGAGGGGTGGTCACAGCTTGCAGAAAAGCACCGAAGAACTGGATCCCAGCCCCACCTGTGTCCCCAAGCCAAGACTTCTGTCTCTTCTAGAAAGGCACCTGTCTAAAGCACTTATAGAGAAGACATGAGCAACAGCATCAGTGAAAGCCATTTACTGAGACGTGCAAAATACACGGGCCAGGACATCAGAGGGCCTCTATTGAGTTTCTGACCTGTACTCTGTCTGAGCCGTGGGAGACACATCAAGGTATGTGGAAAGGAAAGTGACAGCAAGAGGTAACACGAGGAAGACCACCTGAGAAGGTGTGACAGGGCTCAGGCTGTCTTTATTGGTCAAGGACAAAAATTCAAGGGAGGGAGGGAACTGTACCTAGTGATGAATGTGTACAGGCCTGGACAGGAGGGCTGGCGGGGCTTGTCGGTTTTGTTTCTGCCTCTCCTTCCAATGGTATTTCTTGCTATCACCTGAACCCATTGCTTAGGAGGAAATAAGGGTCTGGCTTTTGATAATGATCAGAAAAAAATGTTCTCATCCACTACAGACTGGCTTCATGCTTTTGAGGTTTAGGGGATCAAGCTCAGGACCTTACGCTTCGTAGGCAAGAGTTCTAACATGGAGTCACATCCCCAAGGCATTTTAATTTTTTTCTTAATTTTGCTTTTTTGAGGTAGGCCCTCACAGCCCTGGAACACACAGATCCACCAGTCTCTGCCTCCCAAATGCCAGGTCAAAGGGTACGTACCACCACACCCAGATTAAGTTAACTGTATGAATGTTTTTGCCTGTCTGTCTGTGTGCCACATGCATGCCCTGTTGGTATCAGATCTCCTAGTACTGGGCGCTAGAAGTCAAACCCCAGTTCATCTGCAAGAGCAGCCAGCATGCACCCTTAGCTGCTGAGCCATCTCTGTAGCCCCCACCACCACCAATGGGAAATTTTAAAATGACCTGACAATGTCTGCCCAGAAAAGTTTAAATTTCTCATTCCTCTTCATCTATAAAACAAATCTCAGAAAGTGTCACAGAGCAGAGTGTCAGGACTTGAAGGACTCTACCGCTTGGAAGGTAGAAGCGGGAAGATGTCCAGCCTGGAGCAGAGAGCGTTCAATGCCTGCTGAACTACAAACAAAGACCCTTTCTCAAATATATAAATAAAATTAAAATACATGGAACTGCAATCACTATTTTTGCCTTCTACGACCAAAATAATTTAGACTGAAATAAAATATTTGCACTCTGGAGAGCCTCAACATAGAGACCGGGGGGGGGGGGGGGGGGGGGGGGGGGGGGGGGTGATCCCATAGGAAAAGGAAAAGGCCTCCAAAGAGCGGAGTGTCTTCTCTTCAGGAAGAGACCGGAAAGGGAGAGGATCCATATAGGATAGGGCTGAGGGGTATTGAGAGGTTTGCCCTTTGCTATCTCCATACATTCCCTGTTGGATTTCACAGCGTGAAATGGCTCCGTGTCTCAGCACCGACACTCTAGTCCCAGCTCTGCCACTAACTCTGTGACCAGCATACATGATTAGCTCGGCCTCATTCCTCTCCTCTGCACGCCGCAAGCTCCTGGGTTACAACACCACCACCCCAAGACACAAATTTTAAAACAGGTAGTTCGATTGTTGACCTCTAGAGGCTCTGAAGTTCCTTGTAAATTGCTTATCTCAAAGCCTTTGTCTTTTTCCAGTTTCCTTTCACCAGAACATAGGGTATCAACCTGCCTTGTTTCTAGCCCCTACTGCACCAGGTTTGAGAAAGAGATCCAGTTTGTTCATGTTGACTTCAAAAACAAAAAGGAAGTTGGAAAGAAGGAAACTTTCAAAATCTTTAGTGGAAAAACGCTTAAGGACTGGAATAATTATGAGATAATTACAACAAACTGACCACACAAGAAATTTTTTTGGAAGTCCGATCCTCTTTTAACGTTCTGAGACAGTGTTAAGTTGTCCAGGCTGGCGTCATACTCCATCTGGTACCACAGGCAAGGGGATGTTTTTTAAAAAATATACACTGTCTGGTGTAGTGGCCTGCACCTTTAATCCCAGTACTAAAGAGGCAGAGGCAGGTGGATCTCCCAGAGGGAGACCAGACTATCTACATAAAGAGTTCCAAGGCAACCAGGAGACACTGTCTTAAAATTATATATATATATATATATATATACACACACACACACACACACACAATTCTTTAACCATAACAAGCCATCACATGCCCAAGATGTTCATTTTGAAAACTGCACCAAGAGACCTTTCTTTGGTTGGGAGTTCCCTCCTCTTCCTTGATGAGAAGCAGGTCAGCACAAAACTGGCTACTCCCACAGTGGCTAACTGCCCCTCCCATTCCAGCTGTCTAGGTGATCCTTCAAACCCATCCTTAATATCAACTGTGAAGGCCGTTTAATAGTAACACTGAATAAGGATGTTTTCGCCTTTTCAGTGTGTCACATTTCGGCCTCTGTGATGACTGAATTATTTAGGGGATGACCAAGGTCATTGTTTCTAAATGTTCCGTTCATCTGCAAGTTTAAAGTCTCTTCCCCACTAAGAGAACTGGACTTGAGGCTAACGGGCAACCTCCAACTTCACCCCAGGCATCGCTCTGGAAACACAGCCAAGAAATTAGAAAAGGCATCTCTACAGCAGGAACACTGGGAAGAGAACAGGGTGGCAGAGCTAATTCCAAAACGAGCCAATAAAAGAGTCCTGATAGGACTGGCATCCGGGTTTTGCCTAGCATTCCTAGACGCACTAGTGAAGAACATATTTTTAAATTTAACATGTTATAAAGCAAAGAGAAAATAACCTAATTCAGGGACCCAAACAGCATTGCAGCGTGCTAGCCATGGAAGCTAAAGACGACTTGAACTTAATAGATACCGGAGTTCTACAGGATACAACGCTGAGTCTGGGCTACTGGCCTAAAGTACTCCAGACCTGAAGGGAAAATACAAAAAAATCAAAATGGAGGAGGGGCCAAGGAGAAAAGGGCTGGAAGCAAAAAACCTCGTGGCGCGTGGCGCGCGTCCCATGGCGCCACCCAGCCTTCCTGCTCCGCGCTCTCCAGCCTGGGGACTCACCATCCCGCCTCACCAGCTCCCCCAGCACGCGGCGTCCAGCTCCCCCACTCCCCCGGCGCCCCTCGTGGAGCCCGAGCGCCCACTGAACTTGGAGGCTGTTAAACGGAAGGCGAGCCAGCAGCCACGTCTGAAAAGGCAGCGAGGGGGGGTAAAGAAAGAACCATCTGGGAGGGCTCCACCCTTCTCCACCTGCAGAAAAGGCCCGAGGTGAAGCCAAGATGCCTGTCACTGCTGGGGGGGAAAAAAGAATGAGGGGTCCCTCGGAAAGTCAGACTCGGTAGCCCCTTCCCTGGGGTCCAAGGAAAGAAAGAGAGCAACCCGGACGCCGGAGAGCACGGAACCAGTACAACTTTCTCACTAAGACTGATCCCGTTTTCTCTTCCAACTGTAAAAGACACCAACCCCCGCTGTCATCCCATCCGCGACAGCGCCCACCGAGCTTGGCTCCCTCCCGGAAAGCCCTGCACCTCCTAGGTGGGCTCCCGGTAGCCGGCGCGCCACCTCGCGCATCCCCGCCACCCTCGCAGCCCGTGGGTTTGGGCAGCCGACCAGGGCCAGACGGAGGCGGAGGAGCGCACGGGGCCTCCCCAAAAGCCCCATCCTCATCCCCGACTTGCAAAACAATAAGCATCCGCTTTTCGCCCCTCCCCCACAGGACCCTGACCACGAGTCCCAGCCGCCACGGGGAACGGGCGAGAGAGCGCACCAACCCTGCGGGGAGGGTAGTGGGGACCCACACCCGGGACCCTCAATCGTCCCAGTACCCCGCCGATCCCCAACGCCGCGCCCGGAGCCTGCGCGAGGCTGGCGGCGCCTGAGCGCGGCGTCCGGGAGCGAGGAGCGCGCGGGCCACGCGGTGGCAGGCTGCAACTGCCACGACCCGCGGGCGCCCGCCACATGTGCCGCCCGCCGAGCGGGTAGGGCGCGCGGACCCCTTACCTTGCCGCTGGCCGTGCCCCCGCTCACGCCGATCAGAAAGGGCTCGCCGCCGTTGGGCTGCTGGTGGTTCTGCAGGGTCTGCTCGCTGTCCCCGGCCATGACTCGCGCCGCCCCTCCTCTCGCAGCCTGTGCGAAGCGACGCACGCTCCCCGCCCGCGACCGACCCGGCTCGCTCAGCGTCTTCGCCGCCGCCGCCGCCGCTGGTAGTCGCCGCTACCGCCGCCGCCGAGGTCAAGGCTGGGCCGGCCGGCCGCGGCTGGAGCGGGGGAGGGGGTGGGAAGGGGAGGCCGAGACGGCTTTCCCGGAGGTGCCGAGAGCTCTCCTGTGCCCGTGGCGGGCCGTGGGGTTTACATCCCAGGCAGAGGTCAGCGTGATGAGGCTGCTCCAATCCGGGCCGGCTGCGAGCTGCTATTCGCCAGGAGTCTGGCCCCAGCCTCCGCCCCGCCCGGGCCCCGCCACCGCAGCCGCCGCCCGAGGTCTCTGGGAAAGGTGTGAGCGCCACTCCCCTCCCCACCCGCCGGATTAACCCCTTCCCGGACGGAGCCAGAGCCCGGGAGAAGAAACTGGCTGGGTCAGCGTTTTCATGCTCCTGTCTGCCTCCTATTTCAAAAGAGATCAAAAGCCAGAAGAGGCTGCCGAGAATGGAGGAAGTGCCTCAGGTTTGAGACGCAAAGTTGGGAAAGGCTGGGAAGATGGAGCTGGAGCACAATTAATGCCTGGACCCTTTATCCACACTAAAACTTGTGTTTTTAGTAGGACTCCCTTCCCACGCCCTGTATGCCAAAATAGTTTGTCAGCCGCTTGACTTTAGAGATTTCCTGTCTTGGAAACCCCCAAGTGCCATTTTCTTTAGCAGGTCTGTCCTCATGTGACTCCCCAAATGAAGGGTGACTCGAGGACAGTTCCCCCTCCTGGATAATCAGTGCCCTTCCACACTGCAGCATCCTGGATCCCCGTTACTGACATTCCTGTGAAGCTAGGGTTGATGAAAATAGAAACATAAAGTCATTTCGATTCATCGATGACTTTTAACTGTCGTAGTTTATTAGCCGGCCATGTGTCACTTAGTTAGGAAGGCAATACCAAATAGAGACTGAGGAGTCGTCTTCATCTCCAGAGCCAAATTTCTTCAAGTGTGCCGTGCCTCGGTGTTCCCATCTATAAAACGGAAATAATAATGGTGCTCACACTCTAGGATTTTTGTTGGCTGTCAATGAATTATCATAGGTAAAGTTTTCCGAACAATGCTTGAATATCACTGTTGAGCCTGTATTGGGGCTTGAAAAGACTTCTAAAGGACTGAACCAACTCAACTGGACCAGAAAGAGCAGCTATGCTTGGCACGTGTGAAAGATTCTCTGGACTCTAAACCTTAGCACTGAACTGATGGGGCCCTAAAGGGGGCTTAAGAGGTTGGAGAGATGACCCAGCCATTAAGAGCAGAGGTTGATCATCCAGAGGGACCCCGGATACTATTCCCAGCACTCACATGGCAGCTCACAACAATCTGTAACTCCTCTTTCAGAGGATCTGATGCCCACTTCTGTCCCGTGTGCACCAGGCACACATGGTACACAGACATACATGCAGGCAAAACACCTATATACATAAAACAATTTTTAAGTTTTAAAAAGTAAAAATGTAAAAGAGCTCATGTCTATCACATTCCCTTGTAAATATTAGTTTTGAATAATGTCAATGTAAATATTAGTTTTGAAGGTATCGAGCACAATCGGTCAGGTGTTGGTGGCTCCTACCTTTCTTTGTTCATGCTGACTTCAAAAATAAAAAGGAAACTTTTTATTTTTTTTTCCTGACACAGAGTTTCTCTGTGTCGCTCTGGCTGTCCTGGAACTAGCTCTGTAGACTAGGCTGCTTCAAATTCAAAGATCTGCCTGCCTCTGCCTCCTGAGTGCTGGCATTAAAGGCGTGTGCCACCATGGCCCAGTTTGAGAATAGAATCTTCTGTGACCTAGGCTGATCCTTTGCTCCCTACCCAACTGAAAATGACCCTCCTTTTCCTCCAGTCTCCCCCTCCCACATGGTGGGATTCCAGGCATACACCACCAAGTTCACCTTACTAATGTCTTTTTCTCTTCTGAAATATTGTCACCAACAATACCAAACTCCATTTGGAGGAAACCAAGATGAGAGTGAGTGGCTACTTGGTGTCCATAGGAGGCACTGGGAGAGGCTGGCTGGACCTCACCCCATCAAACGGCCCATCTGACTGTAGGTGGGTCATCTTCTCCCAAAAGTCTCTCCTCTTCAAGGGGAGTAGCAAGGATTTGCAGATCTCTATTTATAGCCCAGTGTGAGGCCTGTGGAGTTTAATGAATCCACAGATTAACATGACTGTAGCAGGCAGCTAAGCAGAAAGGAAGAGAAAAGGCCACAGCGTGAACTTTTCCAAAATCTAGCTTAAGATAGTTAAATATGGAAAATATCTTAGCACAAAAATTTTCAGTCGTATTTGAAACATCTGAAATTTAAACATCTTTTTTTTTTCGAGACAAGGTTTCTCTATAGCTTTCGTGGCTGTCCTGGAACTAGCTCTTGTAGACCAGGCTGGCCTTGAACTCACAACAATCCACCTGCCTCTGCCTCCCCGAGTCCTGGGATTAAAGGCGTGCACCACCACTGCTCAGATTAAATTTAAATATCTTAAACAACCTACCTAGGCTGGGTATAAGGGCAAACACCTTTAATCCCACCATTTGGGAGGCAGAGGCAATCAGATCTGTGAGCTCCAAGACAGCCAAGGCTACATAGAGATGCCTCTGTCAAAAAAAAACTAAAACAAAAACAAAAACAAAACCACTAAAAAAAAGTACTACAACAAAACCCACCATTGATATACTAATCCTGCTACATCGTGTGACTAGTCATGGGCCCATCTCTACCGATGAAGATACTTTTGAGGACTTAAACTGACATTTCTTGCCCTTTTTCCCTTCTAATTATTACATCCCAACACCTAGGACAGTGGTTGGCACAGAGTACAGCTTCAGCTAATGCTCCTTGAATGGATGAAGGAGAGGCCACATCTCATTTCTGCTGCATCCCCAAGCCCCCCTCCCCAGGAGAATGACAAGCAAGTAGGATGCGTCAGATGTGTGGTTGTTTAATGAACAAATGAGTGAATAAAGATAAGGTTAAAAGGTACCAACAAGGGCTAAAGAGATGGCTCAGTGGTTAAGAGCACTGACTGCTCTTCCCAAGGACCTGGGTTTAATTCCCAGCACCCACGTGGCAGCTCGCAACTGTAAATCCAGTTCCAGGGAATCTGACATCTTCATAACAATGCACATAAAGTTAAATCATCAAAAAGGTACCAACAAATACACATTTTTTATCATTTTGAAATGGAAACATCCCTGTGATTGTAATTGAGAGAGACAGGAAGGAGGGGGGGATGGAGGAGGGTCATTTGTCTATCTGTTGTTTTCATTGGTTAATTAATAAAGAAACTGTTTGGCCTTTGATAGGACAGCAACTTAGAACAGAATTCTGGGAGAAAGAAAGCTGAGTCAAGCAGACACCATCGTTCTCCTCTCCGAGATGGATGCCGGTTAAGAATCTTCCTGGTAAGACACCACCTCATGGTGCTACACTCATTAATAGAAATGGGTTAATCAAGATGTGCAAGTTAACCAAGAAGAGGCAAACTAATGGACCAAGCAGTGTTTATAAGAATACAGGGGCTGGAAAGATGGCTCAGCCGTTAAAGGCTAGGCTCACAACCATAAATATAAAGAGTTCAGTTCCCAGCACCCACGGCTGTCTCTCCAGCCACAAAAAAAAAAAAAAAAAAAAAAAGAATACAGTTTCCATGTAATTAATTTGGGTAAAGCTAGCCCTGCGGAGCTGGGCGGGAACACAGCCCACTGCTCTTCCTTCAACAGAGGGGCAGAGGGAGAGGAGTCTTACTGTGTAGCCCTGGCTGTCCTGGAACTTGCCCTGTAGACTAGGATGGCTTTGAACTCACAGAGACCAGCCTGCCTCTGTCTCCCTAGTGCTGGGATTAGAGGAATATGCCAACACACTCCATTACTAATTTTATTTTTTAATTTTTTTCCTGGCATTACATTTTTGATGTACTTTGTCCCCACCAAAATTTCAAACTGATAATCGCTTTCCTATATAACAGAAAAAAAAAAAAGTTCTTGGGACCTTTTAAGGGAGATAGGTATAGGTCACATGAGCTCCAGCCTCACAATGGAATGAATGGCGTTCTCCCAGGGTGGTCTATCTATCAGTCCTGGTCTCTCCAATGCTCCCTCTCTCACAAATGTCTCCTCTACGGCTTGGCATCTGCAAGACACTGCCCACACCCTGACCTTGCTTTGTCATTTTCCACGCTGTGAGAAAGCGTAAAACTAGTCCCCCACCAGAAGCCTATAGATGCTGGAGCCATGCGTGGAGACATTCTTGTTTCCCAAAGCCTTCTTTAAATGTACACAGTAACTTTCTACACTAGTCCCAGTGTGCCTGTTACCCAGCTGAGCTTACCTAGTAGCCGAGTTAACACAATACATCTGTTTGTACCTTGCTCAACACTAATAATAGTATTTGACCTCTGTGCAGGAGTTAATATCCACAAAAATGCTCTGGAAATGGTGAAAGCTTTCTATAAAAAGATAAGGCCTGGGTAGCAGAGGAGGCCAGCTGCATGCGCCCCACCCACTCTGTATCCCCTTGCCCTTCCCATCTTTAGGGCTGGCTTGCCTACACAAAAGAAGTTGCCCTCTGTTTACTCTCAGTATGGTGACCTCACCAAGGACTTAAGTGTCTTGCTCTCTACAGAGCAAAGCAAGCCGCCTCTGTTGCTCCCTATGCTGTGTCATCCTCTCTTGAGAGCCAGTCACAAATCCCATAGCCAGGGATGCTCACATCGTATTCGAGCCTCCTCTGCAATTACACTGCAGATGCGAATTAAGTGATTTCAATCTGATCCTCTGCACCTCCTATTAGGAGTGTGTGTGTGTGTGTGTGTGTGTGTGTGTGTATAGTATATATGTACACGTGTATTAAGAGCTCCCACAGACTCAAGAAAATGTGTTTTCTTGCTATCTATGATGGTTCTTTTTCCTTTTATAGAGACTCGGCCTGCTCAAGTCCTGGCCGGGTGAAGGGTTGGAAATGAAGTCAGCAGGAGCAGGCAGCTACAGCGGTAGTCAGAGAGCAATGAGACATCCCTGTTTGACAGTCCTTCGCCTGCCTGCCCCAGCTCCTGAAGCACCAGCACCCGCTCCTCCTGAAAAGCCAACTGAATCTTTCTCCCTGCAGGTGCTTCAGGAACAATGACCCATTCTCCTATTGCCTATTCATCTCCCACCAGAAGAATCTGCTACCACATTTCAGCACCATCCTGACCTCCCGCACAGAGGTCAAAACACTTAGCGTTTTCTTTTTGTCCTCTCTGTTGCCATTTCCACCTTTCC